TCCGCATCCAGGAGTACGACATTCGCGTCGTATACCGCTGCGGACACAAACACTCGGACGCTGACGGCCCGTCCCGCTCACCTTTGCCATCAGATCTGACGTGCGGAAACACGTGCCTCCAGACCTTGCCATCGTTAAATCTTCACTCAATTGCCACCGAACAACGTTGTGACCCGTGGATCGCATCTCTTCTCGAATATCTATCCGGTACGCCCAACCTTCCGGTATCTCGATCCCTCCGACGTCAAGCTTTCCATTTTGCCATCCGCGATCAACTTCTCCATCGACGCAAGTACTCTCCTCATGGCCGCTGGTGGCTCCTGGTCATTCCACACACTTTAAAATCGCAGGTATGCCTCTCTTCACGACGATCCACAATGTGGCCACGCCGGGGTGTTCAAAACATATGAACGCCTTCGTCAACGCTATTACTGGCGCGGCATGTACAATTTTGTACGCAAATTTGTGCAGTGCTGTCCTCACTGCCAGCGACGCAAATCAACACCGCTACGTACGACTGGCGAATCGCAGCCACTTTCGTGCCCTGCCAAGCCATTTGATCGCGTTGGCGTTGACCTCTATGGCCCCCTTCCATTGACACCAGATGGCAATCGGTGGATTATAGTGGCAGTCGACCATCTAACACGCTACACCGAAACAGCTGCTTTACCGAGCGCTACCACTCAGGATGTCACCTCTTTCATTTTACGTCAATTTATCCTTCGACATGGCGCAGCTCGAGAGCTCCTTAGTGACAGAGGCCACGCTTTCCTCTCCGAGGTCGTCGAAGCTGTGCTTTCGGAATGCCATTCATCGGAAAACGACAGCATACCACCCGCAGACTAATGGGCTAACGGAACGGTTTAACCGTACGCTTGGTGATATGCTCTCAATGTACGTGGCATCTAATCATAGCAACTGGGACCGTGTTCTCCCATACGTCACATTCGCATACAATACTGCAATACAAACAACCACGGGATTTCCACCCTTCTTTCTTCTTTATGGACGTGACCCTTCCCATACAATTGATACTCTACTTCCCTACCGTCCTGATGTTTCCGAATGTCCACCTATCTCCGATGCTGCTCGACAAGCCGAAGAGTGCCGCCAGCTCGCCCATGCATCCACCTCGGACGAGCAGCAACGCGAGAAAGAAAACCGTTGCACCTCTCTTCCGGATCGCAGCTATGCCCCAGGGTCTCTCGTGTGGCTTGCCATCCCATACCGAACTCCGGGACTCTCATCAAAACTTGTCCCCCGGTACGAGGGGCCTTACACCGTTTTAGAGAAAACCTCTCCGGTTAATTACCTAATTGAGCCAGTTTCCCGATCGGATGAAATGCGCCGGCGTGCGCGTGAGATCGTCCATGTTTCCCGCCTAAAACCGTATCATGAGCCTCTCCTTGAAACTTCTTAGGTCGCCAGGATGGCTCCTTTTTCAGCGGGGGCGATTGTGAAGAAGATGTGCCTGCAGCAAGCAGCATCGCCAACGCCCGGCTCTCTCGGCTCGTGCTTCGGTTCGTTGCTGTGCCGATCGCTGGATGGTTCTTCACGCTGTCCCGTCGCTGTCTTTAACGGCTAATAAACCTTCTCACACTTCCTTCGCTTTATGCACAAACTGTTGCAATTTTCGCCATGTCCAGTCAATGTGTCCTGGCATAGATGTGTTGCAGAGCCCTATAGTATGTAATTGAAAGAACTGCTGCTTTGGTCCTTCCGTTGGTTCTCCCGCCCGCCGTGCTCGCTCTAGTCGGGTTTCTCGTAGCTCATTAAGGACTTCTTTTCTGCCTGGACATTTCCGAGACTTCATTTGGCGCTTGGATGCGGAGTGCTTCGCACTCTCAACCACCTGTAGATGTGGAGATTGATCCAGTCAGCAACATGCCTGAACTGCTCCCTTCGAGAAACAAATCATCGTGTTCTGAGACATGGTGTCATTGCATGTGTTTTCTGGATAGTCGTACATGCTGAATTTGCAGCTTCGTACATGTAGCCTCAGAGTAAATCACTTCATTTATTTCGGGCGTTGTTATCGAGGCCGCGTCGCCTGTCTTGTCATTGCTGCCGGTTCTTTCTGCCTCTGATGCAACCACCAGAAAGAGCGATTGTAGTCGGAGCTGCTATGTGTTTTGTCGGAGGAGCTTATCTTTCTCGCTCACGGGGTATTCTTTCAGCGTATGTCTTGCCCTTTTTTGTGGGTCTGTGATTGAACCAGTGAAAGTTTTCTTTCAGCCGGCCTGGTATTGCTAGGCTGCTGTATTAACGCGTAAGTAGAAATGACATGCCAATATACAGAATACGCGAAATATACATATTCATGTTGTATTTGTGCCTCTTTTTTACGTTGCAGTATGCATATTGGCATCTGTCTTTTCGTGACACATTTTTGTGTGGCTGTGTTTGTGAAAAATATTGTGTATACCCTGTTCTTTCTACGTCATCTGATATGCAAGTTTATGTAAATGAAGTCTTCTTTTTCCTCATGGTTAATGCATGTCTAATAAAAAATTCTCTGTTGAAGTGATATTGACGTCTCTGTCATTAAAATTTTCTAAACACTGTTTGAGAACCTTAGTTCAGCCAGGAGCACAAGAACACTGGTGTGAAAAAAAAAACAGTTCTTATTTTTCCCAAATAAAAAGGGTTTCTCGTTTTTGCATGAAAGATGTTCAGTTGATTTTTGGAAAAGTTTTTTTAGGTATCTGAAAAAAAAACTTCATGGTAATGAACACAGATATACACATTTGAAATTCACCTCAAGTACGTTTAGCTTAGCTAACCGATTTATTTATTAGCTAACCGATTTATTAGTCAACCGATTATGATTGAACTTTTAATGAAACCGATTTGTCACTTATTCTAAAAGCTCCATCAATCAAACTTATGGATTCTTAACCTATGTAACCTAATCATCTGCAAGAGGTACGTTTAGCCAGTAGTTCTTTACATGAGGCATCATTATGTGATAAATAATGGCAAGCGAGGTGACAAAGAAGAAAAAAGCTGAAAGTACATGGTAGTGCAAAATACGAAAAAAGACTCACTGCGAGTTTTATGTAAAAACGCTCCCTTCTATCTCTTACATAGGGTTGCGAACGGTGATGTCTATTGTGAAGTTGACCTACATTTCCTACTTTCAAGGCTAGTCTCAGAGCGAGGAGATCGATTTGATATATTCTCAAGAAAATTCTACACAAACTACAGATTCTTGCAGATTAGAGATTAGAGAAATTTTCAGGAAACACTTTGAGAAAATGGAGACATTTTATGAACTAGCGAATCGATTTGTACAAGTTAGCCCTACCGATATTGATAGGCATGTCTGATGCCCTTCGCTTTCTCCTACTTCCTTGTCCCTTATTTAGAATGCTGGACACCACGCCAGTACATCGGCACAATCTAGTTTACGAGAACACCAGTGACACCAGCCTGATTGTTAAAATGGCTTTAAAAGTTTTAAAGATAGTTACACTACAACTCACGAACTTGAAAGTAAATTCACCATGAGATTTATAGATACGTGATTATCTTTCTCACTAAGCGTCCCTGCTAGCAGAAGAAACCACGGGCAAACAAACCAAAAATAATCTTTAGGTGGTGTCATTCGATTTTTCCAAACTTAGCATTGCCAAGCTCTGCTTGCTTAGTTGTTAGCAATTTCTCTTCCCGTCATGTAGCAGAAAGCAAGTAGATATGAAACGGCAAGCAGAGTCAGTTTCTCAAGTGTTTGAGGCTTGTAGATGACTACGTAATCTTCATTCATTCGCTATCAGCTCTTAGGAAGGTTACCAGCGTTCTCGCCTCAGTCAAAGAAAATAAAATGCATTTTATCGCCAGCCTTGAGTTGCTAACTAACCAAAAAATAGGGGTTTTTGACTCGCAGTGAACCTTCACATCCCAAATTATATGCTCGCATTATTACCTCAGATTGAGTAAACCGATTTCGAACTACGCTCTGACGCATTGTAGTATACAGAGGCATAGATAAGACATGTTTAAGATGCGCTTTCAGAATTTCTTGCCACCACTTTACTAATCTTAGCTCTTCGCAACAGCCTGACCATCTAAATAAGGCAGCTTTTCCACAAGCCGTAGTCCTCTCAGTATGTCAAAAGCTTCTCAAAACATTTAGGAAAGGGCACTGCATCCTTCACAGCTTCATACAGAAAAAAAAAGTTTACAGATATTCTTTACGTTCATAGGGCTGCCAAATGAATAAAAGTGACAGTAGAGTGGTATAACGTACCGGTGTTTCTTTTAAACTTGTCAATTTGGATGTACAATCTTGTCAATAAACCTAGAGGGGCGTGCAAAGATGCATGCATTAAAATGCAAAAGTAGCAGTTCTTTCCATGCTCGATGAGGGATGTTTATACCAGTACACTCTCATGGGGTACACTTTAGACAGACAGGACGATGCATTGCAGTTAGTTTCAAAGAGCACCACGCCACTGTAAAAAACACTTCTCTAGCACAAACTTTGCTGCACATTGCAAAAGGTGCCATTGCGAGCCAGTGTTCCGTGAAAGACTGATGGTGCACAGAATTACCTACAAAATCAATCACGAGACCGTGAAAGCACACCACATACACGTATACCTGAGCGTTTGAGTCACCCAATGCTCAATTGATCTGCGTGGTAAAGAAGTTCAAATATAGAATGATGTAATCAAATGGCACGCTGACACATTTATTATTTAATACCATGTGTCTGAGGAAGTAAAATCCGTTGTCATTTGGCGCTTGTTTCGGTGCGTTTCTTTCAGTCCTCAGTCAGGGTTGTGCTACCGGCAGCATAATTAGGTTTAGCAGATTTAGCATCTGTAGTACGCATGTTAACTGCTTGCTGCGCTGCTTTCAGTGACTTCAAAAACTTCGACAAAAATGGAAGCTCGCCGTGTGGCTAAACTACTAACTAAGGCAAAGTTAAGCGCACATGTATACCGTATCTTCTTCGCGTGCCACATAACCTGAATGAAAGTATCAAGTGAGTTTACGTAAAGGTGGTCTTTGTTCTCCTGTTGAAATTGCAGAATGACTAACACTTGCCTCCGAGAAAACCAACTTGAGCCATAAATCACAAAAGAGTACATAGTGTGCCAAAGATGAGTAACTTGCACGTATCTACTGCCATGTAGGAAGACAAACGTCGGATAAACAGCGCCATGTTTAAATTGCATGTTGAGACGTCACTGCAATATTGTTTCGAATGGCAAAGAAGCGTACCCAGTAATCCATTGCCGAGGTTTTCAGTGTTATGGAATTTTCATTTTTCCTGTGTTACTGCCACAGTCCTGATAAGCAGACTATGTTAATGATTGACCCAAATAGGATCGCTGAAGCAGAAGATTGTTGTGTGAGTGGGAACTCAATAATATAATCAAAAAAGAGCTGCATTTTCTTAAATTGACTGCACATGGATAAAATGTGGCTGCAGTGTCCTTAACCACTATTGTGCAAAATAGAAAAAAAAGGCATAAAAACCAAAATGGATTCCTTTGTCATAGAAATTGGTAGAACACAAAATTAAAACGTATCGTTAGAGCGCACAATATTATGAAAGAGCCTATACAATATATGTTGGGGTCTGATGGTTAAAGCACCGTTTTCCGTAAATGCATCCACGTTGACGTTTCCATCCTGGTAGCTAGGGTGCATACTTAATGACTGATTAATCATTAAAAATGTCTTCGGGGTCAGGCATACCTATGGTAGCTATAAACTCTGTTGCAAACAGACCCTATGCCGGCTTCATGTCGAATAAGGAATGGCGTTAGCAAGTGTAATAAAGTGTTTCACAGCTTTGAAGTAACAACAAGCCATTACACGATGCGATGTGCGTAACGCGTGGGTCCCTGATTGCTCAAACGCAGAACAATAGCCTCTTACATGGTTTTTCATTGGCGTCAGCCACAGAACCAACAAAGTACACGTAGTGTCTTACAACTGTGTATCCTGAGCCGCGCTTCTCCGAAGAAGGTAGAGCAAAGGCATAGCGAAAGCCTTATATAGTTTATGGCACAGTGGGTACCACGCATATGTGCAAGAACTAGTCCCCCAAAGGTGTCTAAAACCAGCTCTAAAAATGCCACTTGGTTTCACTTTGACTGCGATTGCGCGTTCCGGCAGAGCTGGTGTTCTTGCTTTTCCTGCAATAAACATTGGCAGACGGGGTAGTGTCTACGTGTGTGCCTCCATATTTCACCATCGCCAACTTCGGGCATGGTGCTTCGGATCATACAGAAATGGTAACTCATGTGGAGTCCCTCAGTAACATAGCACGGATTCGAAACCAGGGATAGGAATTAAATATATAGGTTTTTCAAGTGGGTGGTGAATTCATGTGAAAATGTGGTGCGAACTCAGCGATTAATACCGAAGAATGTCTTTGCAGTATTGAAAAATTCCAAGCACACACCAGCGTCAAAGCAACCACAGCTTTACAGAACTGCACTGATATTGCAGACATCAAGAGAAGGTCTTGCTGTCTGTCATTCATATTAAATAAGATTTGAGATTCCATGCAAAGTAACCATTCCGAACGGCACTAAATGAAAATGACATATCTATTAATTACTGGTAATGAAACATTTTAGGAGAAAATTGCGACACAAAGTACATCACGTTAGGTGAGTGGGTCACTAAACTTCACAATGAATTTTCTCTCTTGCTGCAATGAGTGTGGTGCAATATACGTCCTGAGTAATTAGCTGCGATTACTAAACAAATATTAATGTAAATACAAATAGTTCCTGTCACAATTGAAAAAATTCAATTTATTCTTTTCGTATACGTAATTTGCTGCCCGACATACCATAGTTCTTTTTTTATATCAATGTCATAAATGACAGTGCAAATCTGTTAGGGCCTATATAAGAGCACTGTAAGCCCGCCTGGAAGAGTAACTGGACGCATAGGCCGAATCCCTGAGGACCTTCAGCCAAATTAGAGGTGAGTAAACGACATTATGACTAGAATAACGGAACGCTAAGCTAGTTCGTACGTATTGATACTAAAAGACACAGGGCGCGAAAATACGTACACAAAAAAGAAATCATCGCACCAGCTGTAAGTAGACTTTTGCGGTGTTTTTACGTCTTCTTGTACTTGTGTTTGCACGCAATGTTTGTTTTAAAATTATATGTGTGTGATTAGTGCGATATGAAATCTGTTCAGTGTACAGTAAATACAGTACACTACACTTCTGTGTGAAATGAGAGAAGTTTGTATTATAAACCATAATTTGTTGTTTTTGCTTGTCGTGTGGTTTACAAAGTTTATTTAGGCTCGTATTCTTCAAGTAGTACGCACTTCACCCTATGTTTACAGTGCAGGAAATCTTCATGAATTTATTTCCTTGTCGTTCGCTCATTCTAATCGGACTGCAAAAGCTGAATAGATAGGAACATTGATTATCCCTTTTTTTTACAAAATAACCACGACGTGTTCATCACCTAGTATTTCATTGTTCATCATGTTGCTAATGCGACGACCCTTAATTAGGCAGCAAGATCTAGTTCTTGCGATTTTACTAGAAATTCAGTGAGAAGCTTGTAGACGACAGTTTTTTTGCAATGAATGGAAAGTTCTGTGTGGGGCTTTTCATAGTATGAAACCAGCTCTATTTTACAATATTTGGTTTGGTTGAGGTTTGAAACGATTTATCAATGAAAGTCGGAAGGCGTGTGCCTTAGCACACGGTACACCACTACCGCGGCAGCACATTCAGGTCAAGATACACCACCGCATCATGGGCCCTTATATCCCGAAGTTTTGAACCAACGTCCGGACACCTGAGCACCACTATGGCCAACGCTGTATCAGAGGCAGTTACCTAACTAAAAGGTGAAACAGACGAGTGAAATAAGGGGGAGGCAAATATAATTTAGTAAACCAACGTTCTGCCAATGCATGTTTTCCTAATGAAAAAATAAATCTTTTTCAGAATTCCAACATGAACCGCTTTCTAGGAACCAACCTGATTGTCGCTGTTGCCGTCGCAATAGGTGAATATTTTTTGTCAGAGTTTTCGGTCAGATGTATAGGATGGCTCACGAAATTTGTCCATTATACATAAAAACTACGGAGAGCAATTGGCACCCGCTGTCACAGTAATTACATTTCTGTAGTGGCAGGCATTTTAAGCTGATTCGACAGACCGAGAGAAACAGAGGAAAATAACGCTTAACTGCTCCCTTCGGAAATGACGGCGGATGAGGCTTTGACTTTCGTTTATCATTCTAAGCGCTGGCTGCTATTCCTTGGCACTTGGCGGTGGTCAGGGCAAAATTGATTACGTTGGTTGTTGTTCGTCGTAGTTGCTGAGTGACAGTGTTTCCAGATCCTACCATGGAAAGAAGGGAATACGCACCACAAAATTGGCGCAAAATATTCGGAAACCAAGTTTTCCAATTTTCGGAAATAGTTTAAAATATGTTAGAAAATAGGCAACTGAAATACGAATGATCGTTGAAAAGATCACGTAACTGTTTTTTACAGACAAAAGTATATGCAACTAGGAACAAAGTCACATACTAGCTGATTTTAACATTGTCTCCAGTGCAGTCTCCAATCGCTCCCGTTACGTTCGCCAGCACACGATTACTGTTGTTGTTGAGTACCGAAACCCATGCTTGACTTCAACAAACCACAATAACTGTGCACACTGGAGAGCAGGGGCATGGGGAGCCGAAGATTCATTGTAGCCCCTTACCCCCATGTCACTTAGACAATATATGAGGCAGATTTGCCCCCCCCCCCTTTTCTTGGGCTGTACGAGGAGTAGAGATAAATGTGCTTCAAATATCGACTTAGTATCTAGTATGGGGGAGGGTGGACTCAGTTGGAACCTCACACCCTTTCATAGGAACCCTACACGCACCTATACATTCAACCACGCATAGTCATCGACGAACAGGCTATTAGCGAACGGCAAACACGCATTCCTCAGCTTGATGATCACTAAAGTAACTATATCGGCTGTAAAAGAGCAAATAGGCCCAATAAATAGCGTCAAGCGACTGTAAAATTCTTCTAGAGACACAGCGAAAAAAAGAAGCCTGAATCCACTTATTGTGTGTGGAACTGGCAACTGCTCCGAGTACTCAGGACTCCCATGGTGTCATGTTTGTGATTTTGGATGAAAAACTTTATGCGACACTTTAAACAATGGCTACAAGGGACCAATGAGAGAGTCGAAGTGCTTCCTGAGAAGAGCTCAATGCGGCATGAACGTTTGGTTGCCGAATCCCAGATCAGCGCAACTGCCCAAAGGGAGTAATGGATCACTCGTACTTCACTGAACGCGGCGTACTTAACGGCATTGTTAGCACACGTACTGCAAGTACATCTCTCACACCCACGAAATGAGGTAGATCGATGATAAATTGTACTATGTTCGCTTAGGGTAGATGCTGAGAAATGTATGACAGTAGTGCTCTTCCACCCGTTTTTTAGTTTCTAATAACATATAGTAATTTTCTTTTGTCTCTATATGAAAGGTCGTTTCAAAAGCAAGACCTTTATTTCTACCAGTTGACTTTTCCACTTACCTCCACTAATTAATAATTTCAAAACCTGAATTCCACTACGACAGGTGTCATTGCTGCATCCAGTCATCTTGAAATACGTGTCATCAGAGAATACGCCAGTTTAGAAGCAGCAAGAAAATTCTGCATTTCTTTTTTTCAGGAATTGGTAACATATTTGCGCATGATACATGATGCGTATGCATAAGCAATTCATTGTTACTAGAAAGGCACCGCATACTTATGGAGTTATATAACCAGTCTATAAACTTGCTTAAAACCCCTGGAGGCGTAACACTGAGTGTGGGCAATGCACTAGGCACTGGTTACGTCCGACGTTTCAAGTAGGGTCAACTTAACACTCATGAACATGCTATTTCCGCATGCCTATACGTCAATTGTGCGAAGACAGAATGCTGCACAAGCGTTGCCGCCTCGTCTCCGCAGTCATTTGCGACAAATTAGAAAGCCTTCAACTTGTAGCCATCAATCATTACGTGGCTTTTGAGACGCAAAGCCTCACACATTATTATTGATATTGGATGAGCAGTCAGCGGTGTTACGAATAAAATTATTTCAATAAACTAGGAGTAACTGAAGTATTGGATAGCAGTTTATTCGGTGATTTCAGGACCTCCATTGAAATATTCAAATTGTTAGTAAGAAAAAACACCCCTTTCAGTTGTTTTGAATTGATGTGTCTGATTCATTTACTATTGAATTGTTCAAATTCCCTGAACGATTAAAAGCGCCACGTGACCACGAATTCGCGCACAGCGCTGAAAAAAAAATAAAACTATACTCAGTGTGTCGCTTAGTCCCCACAAGAATGCGATGAGATACTCCTATTATCAGGAATGTAACTTGTATTCTTGAATTTTACAGCTGAATTTAATCATACACATGCGTTTCTACAACTTTGGCAGTCAGGTTACTTCTTTCTTCAATTACGAGGGCTGAAAACTGGCCTAGAAATTCACAACACATGTAGTAGCGGAACATTAACGTGGCAACATGCAGAAATATTTATCAGGGCATAATTGTGTCGTGGTTTGTCTTGCTTTCAGCTGTCATTATTATGGCTCCCAATGAAGCCGCTGCCATCGATGGTGACTTTGTCAACCCATTAGGCCGCAAGAAGTGAACTGAAGATCACCATGGCTGAAGTCGTTCTTGTTGTTTCAAGAGCATGAATTCTCATTCTTGCAATAAATGAGTTTAACAAGCACCCATCAGCACATGGCTACAGAAGTTCATGCTACCAAATGTTGCTTAATTGTCAATGGATGGCCAAGTTACAGTTGTGGCCCGATGGTTTCAAGCTCATGGTTTGATCATTGGCGACTATTTCCAGAAACTTTAGTGTCAAACTTTAGTATCAACCGTTACATTCCAAGAGTAATTCTGAGGTTGATTTATGAACACAGTTGGGTAATATCACAGGTTTTCATGATTGGCCAGTGTTTCTTGTTTTTACGGAGTGCCGTATTTTTTTTTTTTTGAATTCCTGAGTTGGGACAGAGAACACCATCTGTCGATTTCTGCGAGAAAGCAAGAACAGCAGCCGCCTTCACTCAATTTATTTGCCTAAACAGTCCTTAGAAGAGATTTTTGGCGTTTCAAGGAAGTATAATAACAATGGAACACATGTGAATGACTATAGCCACTTTTGACAGCAAGAAGGCGACACAAAAGCCGGTGAAAAGACAGCAAAAGCGTGAAGAGCGCGTCAATGACAAGTACGCACAGCGTCTAGAATTGAGAGCACACAATGCTAGCCAAGGAATCTTCGCTGTATTTCAGCTTGCATTTGTGGGCATCTGCTATAGCGCTGCCTCGCTCCCGTGTTCGAGCAGCCATCCGCTATAGAACTGCGCTAGGTTAAGTGCTCGTCTTTGATTAGTGACAATAGCAAAATGAAAGTAAATGTATCGTCGCCAAAGTGAAGTAAATGAATGTGATAGCAACCTGATATAATCTTTTATGTACCTATTTATTCTCTTGGTCACAGGACATTACAGAGGAGAGTGGTTACATTTACAAAAGTAGTGTTATTTCAAGTTATACAATGATAGCATAAATTTTTGCAATATATTTATGATAATATTTCAAGTAACACAAAAATAAGCCCAAAATATCTGGCACCGGAATTCGAGGAGGATTACAAACAAAAGAATTATAGTAAAGCAATAAGCAGCCAAATGTGAAATGCCACCACACACAACTTAAACTGGCCCGTAGCAACTACGCCATGCAGAACAGGTGTAGCAAAAAAAAAAAAGAGAATATGATGGCAATCGTAAAGCACGCTTGAACAAATCAGTCACCAGCTTCTACCGTTAGTGCGCAACAGCGATTTCATAATTTTGATGTACGTGGTATGAATGAAATCAAGAATGCGTGGGTTCTACATGGTGGAATCTGACTTTATGATTATGGTCTAGCTTTTCCGAAAGATACAGCGATGGACCAATATTAGATCGTTATGCAAGTGTGAATACTAATAAAGCTTATGAAAAAGTACTAGACGACGTGCTTTACGTCTAGATGCGAGAGGTGGCAAACTAAAATCATTTTTATTACTTTTTTGAAATGGCGACTGTACCGAGATGAAATAAAACGAATTGAATTGTTTGTAGTGTGCGTAACGAATTTCTTGGAGGAGAATTCCCAATTGCTGCGGAATATTCAAGTTTAGATCTAATTAGTGTTTTTTAAGACAAGTTTGAAGGAAAAAGGTGATCTTGGAAAACTTCGACAAAATTAACCAAACGTACTAATTGCTTAATTTAAAATGTGTGTTATAATTTATCATGTGTGTTATGATATGATCACTTAAGGTTCGGTTCGACGTTGTATGCACACCAAAATATCTGTCCATGACCCAGCTTTTATTGAATTAGTATTGACTTTCTGAACAGGTTGAATTGTTTTCGATGGGATTACTGACATAAATTTACACTGAGTTATGTGTAATTTTGTTTGCTCTAACTTGCACCACAAAGAGACCGTGTTTTCTTCAGATTGAAGAGTTATACCATTGTCACAAGTTATCTTGCTAAAGATTACGCACTCGTGTGAAAAAGGTGATTATTTGAGGAGAAGCAAAAGGTAAGTCGTTTATGTAAATTAGAGACAAAATGGGACCAAGCACTGAACAAGGAGCACCAGATTTTACTGAGCTAACTCCTCAGTTGGTAATATTTGCTCAAAAAATTGAGACTTGCCAAGAAAAAAAAAAACATTTGATCGAGGTCGTAAGTTTTGGGTGCATGTTGAGTAGACCAACCTTTATAAAAGTAAGCTATGGCAAACTTTGTCGAATGCTTTCGAGTAATAGAGAAAAATGCTGTCGGCGTATAAAGAGTTTTTTAGACGCTAGTTGTGTTTCGCAGGAATCGGTTTTATGAAAACCATGTTGTGATGATAAAAAAAGAAGTTGTATTAAGGATGTTTATAATATGTGATAACAGGATACATTCAGGAGTTTTGCATGGATTGCTAGTATGAGAGATAGGCTGGGAGGTGAGGGGGGAATGCCTGTTACTTCATTTAGAGAACAGAATTACATCTTCTGTTTTGCACTTTGGTGGAAAAGAACGAGTGTCAAGAGTCCGTTTAAGTATCATCCTCAGTAGGACAGACCAATAGGTCTTTTTACTCTTTACAATCTTTGCTTCAATTTGATTGGATGCAGGTGTGGGAAATGATTTGATTTACTTTTTTATAAGTTTTGCCACACAGTCCAATGTAATTTCTACCATAAACACGGTCGTGTAGTTTTATGTGTGCGATAAAGATGCTGCTGTGTTTGTGCTGGAAGAAAAATTGTATGACGATACTTCGGGAAAAATTCACAGCAGTCATTGTCAAAGATGGCGTTGCCTGTAGTATCATTTAGGCTAACCAAAAGATTTTCACATTATTTTATCATACGCCAGAATTTTTTTGGCTCAATTGTGAACATCGATGGTGGGGTCTCGCTTACAAAGATATATTTTGCTTTCTTTACTACATATATGTATTAATTAGCTGTTGTCCCGTAATCTTTCCAGTGACCAGTCAGAAGTGAATTCTTAGCAGACCTAAAAATACGCTTTTTTGTGCTATAAACGCTTTATGTGCTTGTAGTACCTTAGAGCATTAAAATCCAATCTGATAAATTATTATTCATGCTACAAAACATCTCCAACTAGTCTTAACATTACGACCATCAAATCTGATCATGAACGTATCAAAAAAGGCTCTAAGCTCTTCTTTTATAGCATCATAGTTAGCATTTTGAATCTCTAATAGTACATTTTTTTTTTTCGTTTGTGAAGTATTTGTCAAATTGTATCCCTTTTGAATAGAAGCAAGGCATGGTAACAATAACCAGAGAACTGCGTAACATCAGAAACAAGCAAAGCATGAGTTACAAGAACGAGGTCCACTATGTTTGATACTGACGTTGGTGTTCAAATTAGTTCTTTAACAAACCGAATAATCAAGAAAACGAACATAAGTCTAAAAAAGGTTTGCCAAAAGTCATGATTTATGTATAATGGGAGAATCTCAGAACCACCTATTGTTTGGTATGTTAAAATCACCCAGTGATAGAGCGGATAGATAATTGTAATTGCAAGCGACAGAATTTAGTACATCATGCGACTCTTCAATGAACCACTGTTTTAGGTTAAGAGGACGATAGCATGTAACAAGAAAAATGTCTTGATAGGCTACTTGGGTTATTACTCAGACGGTCTCTAAAGTGCTCGCTAGATTGATAGCGTCGGAAGGTGCAGCTCTGCGTTTGCCCAATGAAACACTAGCACGTCGACATTCACTGTATTGACGAGTGTCACGTTAATAAAAATGCTTTGCCATATTGAATATTGGATTGAATCCACGTTTCGGTTAACGCTGTAATATCAGCAGTACATATGTCGATTGCGGATGGTAAAGTTTGACCTTCGTTAAAAATGTTACCAATGCCGTGAGAAAAAAAAATGGCCCCGTGTCTGCATGTTTCACTGCAAATCTTGTCGAAAGACGATAGTCTTGCGTGTGGAGAGAGTTAACGAAATGTTAATTGATGTTGTGCATGATAAAATCGGTCAATTTTATTCTTCAAGCGCTGCGTTAGAGAGTCTGATCCATGCAGTGAAGCCGAACGAGCGCACCGAGGCACATTAGACACGAGCGCCATGTGACAGTTATATTCGAAAACAAAGGAAGACGTGCGCGCCCATGGAGAAAGATGCGTGCCTGTATCGGAGGCGATGAGGTGTAGAACGCAAAGGCATGGGCAGGTGCCACCACCGTGTCGTGTTAGCAAATCGTTGGCAATGCTTGCCTTTTTGAGCATCGTGTCGCACTGTCAGCGCAGCTTGATAAACGCTACAGATTTTATAATTACTTATGTCTGCCTTCTCCAGTATAAAGCCTACATATAAAATATCGACATGTTGTTATGCTGCCTCAAATATCCGCAATAATTGCTTTTCAATTGACTATCTATCGCACAAGTATGTACGCTGAAGCTTGAGCAATATGGGCCCATTTGACGAATCCTTTGGTGCCGTTTAAAATATCGTTAGCTATTGACCACGAAGCTTTGAAAATTAGACTCTAAATCGTTCACCAGTTTTGTCTAAACACAACTACACGATGGCGTTAGAGCAAATGCTCTCGGTGCATAGCGAAAATGTTTATCTTAGAGCACAGCACCATTACCTGTTACTGCGTACACAGCATCACGTGCTAAATAACTAAAAAAACGAATGAACTGTACTCAAGGTTACCTAATATGAAGCCCACCCACATGAGGGCGTTCATTTCATCCAGACTGTTCATGTCTAACTGGTTGCAAATCCAGATGAAACAGTGATTTAGGTAAATCAGCAAACAACTTTTTCACTAAGGATCATTCTGTGGAACACTGTTCTGGTTAATAATTGTAAAGCATTTCTTTGCGTACCGCAGGCACTCTTAGAATCTATCTATCTATCTATCTATCTATCTATCTATCTATCTATCTATCTATCTATCTATCTATCTATCTATCTATCTATCTATCTATCTATCTATCTATCTATCTATCTATCTATCTATCTATCTATCTATCTATCTAGCCGCTTAGTTTGGGTGATCTCGTGGTCACCTGCTTAAATTGGCGTGAACCAAAATTAGCATGGGATGGTAAGATGGTTTGACGAATATGACGTGCTGGTCAAGACAAGAATAATGTTACAATCCCGTCGCGTACGCCG